TAAATTTTTTTTACTCTCGATATTTTTGACCAACTAGTTGGATTTTACTAAAACAATTATTCCTCTCGCCCTCATGGACTCTGAGTCAATAGCCCATTCGGCCTTCAGCCTCATGGGTTATTGACTCAGAGCCCATTCGGGCTTGAAGAATAATTGTTAAATATCCACCTTTTATTCTCTATACTGTACAATTATTTATCATAATCCGTTTGTAGAGTATTGACACAGTGGTATGATGCATTTTCAAAATCCATATCTCCATCCATATATACCTCAATCTAATTGAACACAGAGCGCACTTAATGAAAAAATTATGAGACATTTATCCAGGTAAAAAATCTTTGCACAATGGCAATGACTCCAAAATTATTACACAGGAAGCCCATGATAGGGAAATATGCAGGGAATTCCAGAGTAGCAGCCCTGTCTATCAAAACCTGTAAATCCTTTATAGTTTTCTTTCACCAGCAGGAGCACCACTTAAGGTGTTGTTTAAATGTATTTTGACACCTATAGTGGTTCTGGAAGTAAGTGATCACAAGACCGCACTGCATGTGTTCAGACTAGCCTCCTGTACATGAACCTTGATAACATCCTTTACACTCATTTTTTCTACTATCAAGGTCACCACCCTTCTGTTTGACATTATGTCCGGACAGTCAGAGGTGGATCACCCACTATGCGAAGAATGTACAGACACCCTACTAGATCAACTGGATGAGCAGCTTAAGATTACAGAAGATGAATTAAAAGACTACAAAGTGTTCTTTAACAAGCTCAATGACAAACCAGCGCTTGATACTGAGGGTTTGTCTAAGGAACTTACTGATCTTAGAAAGGAGGAAGAGGAACTGATAAGGAAATTGGAAGAAGTTGAAAAGGAAAGAGAGAATGTGGCTAAAAAGATGGAAATGGAAAAGGAAAGGTCCAAACAGTTAGAAGAAGAAGAAAGGAAATACTGGTTGGAGTACAGTGAATATCAAAAGGAGTTGCTAGAGTGTGAAGATGACCAGCAAAGGTTAATCAATACTAAGCTAATATTCACTATACAATGGTCCTAGTACTACCATGATCTTTTTAGGCACAAAGTGGTAAAAATTAATGTTGAAACTCCCCCTTTTCACCTGTTTACACTAAAATCAACCTTGATCTCCTTTTTTGCGACCATCTGCAATCATTTTAAAATTTATTTTGTAGTAGGTAGTGTTTAATGTGCTATGAAATTTATGTTATTTATCCTCAGTGTTGATAATCAAATGAGATATGCTCAAGCCCAGTTGGATAAACTTAAAAAGACAAACGTGTTTAATAGTACTTTTCATATATGGTGAGTAGATAGTTTAATTCTTTCCATCGGTTTTCATGTTTCAGAATCATGAATGTTATTCTCATTCTCTATGCTTTCAAGCCTCACCAGAAATATTTTTTACTACTCATGATTAATGAGGAAAATTTAAAATGTGGGGAAAGTAACAAATAAAACCATTATTTTTAAATAAGACATAGAACATTCTTTGAGCAGGTGTTTTTCTGGACATAGGAAATAAAGTAATATAATTAAAAGCTTCCACAAGTGAAAAAAATTCCGGAAATACAGAGGAAATGGGCAGTTATATGGTTTCATGGTAGAATTATGACTAATGGCATGAGAGTTTCAATGTTTTCTACTTTAGGCATAAAGGTCATTTTGGAACCATTAACAACTTCAGACTTGGTCGTCTTCCTAGTGTGCCAGTGAGTTTCATTATTACATTTGGAACTTCAGTACCTGGGTTTAATTCAAATTGTTTTTCATCTTAATTAAGGTCTCTTGGTTGCTTTTGTTAGGTTGAATGGAGTGAAATCAACGCAGCCTGGGGCCAAACAGTTCTCTTACTTCATTCTCTTGCTCGAAAAATGAACTTAACATTTGAGAGGTAAAGTAGATAAGGCAAAAATTAATGTTGGCATCATATTTATTTTCAGTTTACTTGCAAATAAGGAAACAGTGCAATACACCCTCTAGAATATATCCAAAAACCTTTTAATAAAGGAATATAAGTGTTAGTTTTAAGTTATTGAAAAGAATGTCAGGTTAACTTGGTGACTGTATAGCAGCAGTTCAGTACCCTGGTACACTGTGTGAAGGGATACATGTAAATAAGGTACAGATGTAACCCTTTGTTAAAAGAGTGAGCACATTCCTAAACAGTACAATGTTTCAGATATCGCTTGGTTCCATATGGAAATCACTCTTACTTGGAATCACTTACAGACAAGTCAAAGGATCTTCCTCTGTGAGTAGCTTTATTTTATTTT